TAGAGCAAGGATCATTCAATCAACCGATTTTGGAACTCTGCCAAAAAAGCTCATGTCTCGAGTAGTTGCTGGATTTGAGACTGGAGAAAACAAAGATAGGCTGAAAATAGATTTCGACAACCAAAGACATACAGGAATGAGATTTTTTATTTGTAGAACACAAGTGCGTATCCTCTGTAACATTAACGATGGACTCAATGACGATGAAATAACTGAATTTGTCTAGTAATGCTTTGCTCATCATAGGGTGGTCCAAAAGTAATGGGGTACCTTGATTTTTTTAACTTCTTCAAGATCTCTTTCTGATTAGCTATGTACAACCAGCAATTTGAAAGCTTTTGTATAAAGTGACCTTCGCAGCTTATCTTGACAGCACCTTGCAGCACCTCATCGACATTCCTTCGAGCGGCGCTTCAAAGAAGTCAGACATACTTTTTTGAACGCCATCCGAATTTGTGCTGCTGCACCTGACACCAGCACCACACCTGCTGCACCCTCGACATATGGCATACCATTCGAAAGAGCTTTCCAAGCTCCTTCAAAAGATTACTTGAAGATTTAAAAATTGCCCATTATTTCATATAAAAAAAGGCACTTATTTCGAAAAAATGTTTGGTGCAGATTTCCGGACCAAAATTTATGTTTTGGCCCACAATTTTCTAAAAATAAGAAAGGGCGAAGTAATTTGCATATGTATGGATAGAGCATAAAACGCACTTTCAGAAAGCAACTGTTAAGATTGAGCATATTCGATTATCTTGATGAAAAACAAGTAATACTAGCTGGCAAACCCGGCTCCGTCCGGCCCCGTCAATAATATATTCGTAATCAGCATGCTCACTTACCCCCCTATGCCAACTCCCAGCCCCGTATCTTGAACTGAAAAATCAATAAAATCGATACGGTCGATGAGGAAAAGTAGCTTATGACCCCGCCCGGCCCCGAAGTGTATGTGTGCCAAGTTTCGGATCGGTTCAGAAATGGAATTTTCTATAAGGAATATACGTACAGACATACAAACAGACATTCAACTTTATATATAAGACCTGCTGCTCACTGCCGCTACGCGGCAGATGCGGCTGGCACTCGGCAGCTTCGCTGCCTTGTACACTTTTTATAACTGGGTCCTCGAAAACTTTTTAGTGCACTTGCCATCATGCATACACGGTGATTCCGGGTTATGGATTCCGCAAAGTCGGTGCATCATCATTGTCGTAACAATATCGTGCAGAATTGGGTCCTCAGTGAGGTCCGGAATGGTAGCGCTGATGAGGCGATCGACGTCGGCTGCTGTGCGAGGTTTCGAGTCGTTGTCCAAGATGAGAAGGGAGTGCGTGTGTGACAACCCTCGTTTCTGCCACTCGGAGACTGATACGTGACCTAGGACGCGGCCGAGAGCGTGTTTTGTGAGAAGTAGCTCCATGAGGGTATCGAACTTGCACTTGTAAATCTCGCAATCATGTCAGGACGGTCGCTGGCAGTCTGTCCTGGCTGAAGGCTCTCTTTAAGTTTTGCGGCAATGATCATGGACTCCTGGTAGTCTTGTAACACATAGCGCGGACTTCCTTTAATCCTGGCTGGCAGGATAATTCGCTTGCCCTGTGGTCCATTGCTAGCGTCGTCAGTGGAGATGAAGTCGAGTAGCGAGGTACATATCCGCTCGAAGGTCGGCTTGATGAGTGCGGATGTAGTTAAGGCGGTTCTGCTCTGTCTTAACCCAAGCGTCGATAATGAACTGCTGCGTAAGTGGGCCTACGTGATGAATCAGATTAAACTTGCCAGGCCTGATTTGAAGCAAGTAAAAGTAGTATTCTCATTGAGATATGCGGGAGCGTCGACGGGCGTGATCACTCTTCTTTAGATCTGGGCTCCAGCCAAAATTTTTCCCTTGGAAAAAATACCGGGTAGCAGAGGAATCGGCAAGAATGGAAATGTTTGAGATCTTTTGGACTGCGTTGACATATGGATGTACGGCAAATTCGCGATGAGAGGAAACGTCACCGTCTTCGCCGACGTAAACAACGACTCTTCGTTGGATCTAGGGACGTTATGACGATGACGGTCAAGGGAACGGTCCACCTCCAAATACAAACTTGCTCAGCACTGCGGTTCTCCCTTGATGCGGCAGCTTCTTCGTTCCCTAAGCACCTCGTCCATCATCTTGTAGGATCGAGCGAAGGAATTAACACTGTGTATCAGTGCACTTAACGAACGCATCACGTCGGGATCACATCGATCGCAGGGTGACCGAGACCCTCCGCGGCTGTTTGTGCCGTGTCCAGAATGTACAGCGGGCTGTACGATCGCGGCGCCCCGGAGCGAGATGAAGAAGACCGAAATAGTCGTAGATTTGGCCGTGGATTTTGAAGACCAAGGATCCTGACCGGAAGGCAAGTCGACTTTGGCACCAATTGATGCTCACCCAGCGCAGAATTGAATTGGCGTGCTTCGCGGTGGAAATTTTAGGAAAGGTCGTCGTTGCCAATGAAGAGTGTTGCAACTCTGTAGAAAAATTGGCAAACTTGTCTTCGATAATGATGTTGCCAAAGTTGCAGCACACATTAATCTTATCACAGCCATTAGGGACTTTAGCACGAAGAAATGCGGCGCTACAATGGAGGCAAATAACATCCAACTTGCCGAGGTAGTGCTCAGTGACGGAAGGCACATCAGCAGGTAAGTGTCGTTCATGATATCGTTTACGCATAGAGGTAAGACATAGAGGTAGGTAGGTATCTTGTGCAGCCGGTGTCTCATGGTTACGGCGAAGACGGCTACGCAAGGCTTCAAAAGTGCGTCTTGCAGCGCTATGGCTCGGGTTCTCTGTGCGAAGTGCATCTGCGACTGGGGTGTGGAAATGGTCTCCTCGGATCGTCCTTGATGTGTGCTCACTTCGTCGCCTGAACGCATTTTTGAAAAGTGGTTGCGCTGGCGACAATGCAGGTAGCTTACGTGCATGGAGATAAGTTCTTCTTGGGCCTCTGGTGCTTCCTGGTTATGTGAAGAAGGCTATGTGCAGCTCCGGAGCTCCGCCTTACGCCACGTGCTCGAGTTCTCTGCGCGATGTGCATCTGCGGTAGGTGCCGGTTCAAACATTACTTGTTGCCGCGAGTCAAGCGTAGAGATCGTTCGTGCTGTGTTCTCGTCGATTGGTTCGTATCGTAGTTGGCCAACCTATTCTGGGCTCGCACCATGCCTGGATTGATCCAGTGTTTCCTGAAAGCTTCCGTTAAGCTGTGGTTCCTGTTGCCGTTGACGAAGAAGACGTTTACGCATTGAGGCAAGACGCCGTTCTCGTGCCTCCGGTGTTCCTCGGCTACGACAAAGGGGGTTACGCATGGTTCAAAACTGCGCCTTGCAGTGGTACGGGCTCGGGTTCTCTGGGCGATATGCATCTGCGACTGAGGTGTGGAGGTGGGCGGTCCATTGCTGTAGAGGGTCAATGTCGGCGCCATAGTCTCGGGAGTGAAAGTAGTCGAAGGAAATACGACCGATGAAGGCATGTTATGAATGAACCGTAAGGCCGGGATAGGGTATTTTGATTTGATGGTCATATGTGATCTCGTGATTGAATTATTTTGATTTTGCTGATGAGCTAAGCAGTCGACAAACTCGTTGCGAAAGGTCTATGCATAGTTCAATATCAGCTAGCTCCAGAATGTGACATACAAAGAGTTTATATAGATAAAAGAGTTTAGTGGTTTAAGTGGTAGATATTTAATTCAAATTAACCATGCTTAGCTATCCCTTCCTGCCAATTTTCAGCTCAACAGAGATTTAAACACAAAAAAATCGATAAATCGATAATGCTTATGAAAAAGACTTACTAACACCCGCTCCGCCTAGAAGTTCATAGTGTGCAAAGTTTGGCTTGATTTTAATGAAGTTTTCTAAAATTTTAGGCCAGTCATAACGAAATTGATAAGCGAAGAACGCAAAAATCGATGAATCGATAACCCCGCTCGGTGATTTTCGGTGAAAAAACTTGGTGACACCCGCCTCACCCCGAAGTTCCTGAGTGCAAAATTTCATCCATATTCTTTGATTCTTTGTACCATTTGAGGCCAGTCGTTACAAAAATGCATGTCCAAATATTATATAGGTATTGATGTCTCCTGAAACCCGATGCTATATCTTCTGTTCTAAAGCCTTTTGACCACAGAGCTGTCATGAGTTTGGTGACAGTCCTCCCACCAATTGCTGCGCAGATATCTTTGGTAGGCTCACTTGTTCTACTGCGGCGCTGCTGCTCAAAGTTCAAATTCTTGAAGTGATGAACTTTAATTTTAAGCGCTTATAGAGACGCCATGTACAGTGCCCAACTGTAGACACTAACATCTGTTAAAACTTGGATTTCTAATTAGCTTTTCTATTTGAGAAAACTGCACATTTATTCTCTAGGTGCCCCATTACTTTTGGATCACCCTTATAGTTCCAAAGCAAAAGTGCGAATGAGTTTGCGTTTGCAAAGTTTGCAAGCAAATTCTACTCATATCCTCGGCAAAGCCCTATTAATTTATTTGAAAAATCATTTTTCTTTTCACAAACACAATGAACGTTTTGAAGCTGTGCTGAGGGCTACAAGACAGTGCTAAAGTTTTGATTCGACAAATGAAATGTGTAAGTGATTAGTTATTCGATGGACTCCTACACGAGAGCACTGATTCATTGATGATTAGGTTAGTTAGGGATTCGCGCTGTGCGGGAGGTCAGCAAACACCGTATAAGCACTCATTGATTGCGCGATTGCCCAGTCGTCATGAGCGGATCGTAGCCATAAGGTGGGATGCGTACACTTCAGATTGCTTAACAGCTCAGATTTGCTTTGAATGTGTACTACTCTGGAAGAGACAATAACGCCAAGTGTTTAACTGACAAAACTTGCACTCAAAATAATCCTAAAAATTTGCTACTGCAAACAAACAAAAACAAGCTTGTTAAGGCGTGTACGAAAACTTTTTCGAGTCTTCTATTCTACGAATGAACACTGAATAACTTACTATTTTTCAGATGTTCGAGCACACAGTTAAATTCTGTCAGGTTTTCGTGGTAAGTGTTGTTCCAGCGTCTCTTAAATGAGAGAGTGAGAGATTCATGCACTTTTGCTTGAAACATTTGTACAAAGATTAATACTATTTTATAGAGCGAAGCAAGCTCGACAAGACAGTGTTCATGTTTTGTGCCAAATTTGTTCCAATTGAGGTTTGAAACCAGAATCTAAAAGTTTCAAAGGTCCAAAAGAGGTTGAAAAACTAATCTTCTTCCAGAAATCCCTTACGGATCGACTCGCACACATCAAGATTTTCGACATCAAAAGTTTGCTGTTTTTCTATTAGAAACTGAATCAAATATTTTTCATGTTTTCCTCAAAGCGACGCTAGACCGTTTTTACAGCAGTTATGTTGTTGCTGTTTTTGTATACTACAAACTTTGTAAGCATGACCGTCAATTTGTGGTTTTTTACAAAAGCTAGTCATTGAAAAATAACGATTCCGATCAAAAAACTCCCAAAAGACAGAAGCTAAATTCTCGAAAACTAGCTTTTTAAAAAGCCTTAACTCACTAATTACTATGTTCACGAACTTGTAATATAATAAGGTAAATCGCCTCGGAGAAACACAAGATTTTATGTTTCTTGGTCGTCAAGGAAAAAATACAGCGGCTGTATATATTCATGATTATCCGATGTGAATGTATAATAGCAGAGATGTACGCAAGTGGCAGATTAGGAAGTTTTTAAACGGAAATGCGGTTTTTCCGACTTGTCAATTAATGAGACTTCATAGATTTTGTTCTCAAACATTAGAAACTACTTTTTGCGAAATCATGAATGCCAGTTTTTGAAGCTTGCTTTACCCTTGCGTACAACATTCTTCGTGCTATCTTAACACGTTTCGGATGCACATGGTGCAGCACCCTGCTTTGAAGGATCTCTTTGACGTTTACAAGACGTTCTTCAAGTTTAAGGTGATCAAGTCAAAGGCCTAAGCTTCTACTTTTCAAATGTCTCGGTAGAGTTGTGCTGTCCATATTTGTTTAGAAGATATTAGCACAAATCGAGCAACAGTTGCAACGATGTGCGGCAACGCGAACGACGGTGCGACGTCGCGGACTTTCCTTTGCCTCGATATCAACGAGAAAAACCGTAGCTTCAATAATGATGTGTACCGTCTTTAATATAGATACTTTTATTCTTTCAGGAAAGCACAGAAGTTTTTCACAAGCGACAAAATTTAAACACTTGGAATCCATAAACTTTGAGTATGAAACTTATCTGACAAGCTGATTACAGATGTAGCACACAGTCTACGAAATAAGGTCCCTTTGTTGCCTAATGGCGAAAGTGCGCTCTTTTGCGCCGCGCGCGATTTCGAGGTCCGAAACGTGTTAATTTTCGCTCGCCGTGGCAGCAAGTAAATAGAAAGAGTCGCTAGTTCCTTGACAACCTGATACTGAGATCCATTAGGAGCATGTCGCCATGGACGTGGCCGGGGGCTCCCATTACTTGTAAGTGTCAACTAGAAACTGTCGCGACTCGGCGTTACAGTAACCCCGACAAGAGGCAGCAGGGTCAGAGAAAATGTCCCAGAGGAAATGTTGACGGGTCGTTACTGCAGTGGGCAAAAAATTTACATTTACTAATCAGAAACATAGTAGAATCCATATTTTTCTTCACTATCTTCCTCTTTTTCCTACGAGTTTTGTAGCCAAACTTTCATCAAGCAAATAAATTGATGTGGCATTGTAGAAACCATTACAAAGATGGATCAGTATGCTTTGTGCGTCGGCTACCAGAGTTTTCTGAGCACCTGATTGCTGCCAGCCTGTCGCACGCGCGACTACGTGATTGACAGTCACAAGTAATGGGATACACCCGACATGGCCTATGGCAGCTGTTAAATATGAATATAAATTGAATCAATAAAAGCGAAGAATTGCTGTCCATGGTTCTTCGCCTCACGGTCAGAGACATAACATTGACAGATAGACAGATGCGTTCCAAAAAACTTCTAGGTTTTGGCAAACAAAGGTTATACAAAGGTAATGTAAACTAGAACGTAGACGAATAACTCAGATTTCGAAAGCTACAAAAAGGCAGCTGACAAGGGAAGGACTCTTGGTGACCTTAACCATCCCTAATGAGGTGTTTATCGATAAAAGATTGAATACTGCATAATAAACTGTCTTCCATCGGCGGAAAGATAGCCTGGACGGAGTTATGATTATTTATATTTATTTTCAAAGAGAAATTGCGCGCTGCGAATGGTCAAAATCATGAAATCGAGATTTTGTTGCTTATCTAGCTATACAACCATACTCTGTCTGCGGTATCCTAAAATCGGACCAAATGACCAACGCTGGTTAACTATCTAAAAGTACACATAGGCCCGTAGTAAAGCTCGGTCAAGAGGTATGATCTTTCCTGAGGCCCTTATGTGAGGTTCCATCAGGTGAAATGATGACCGCCCACTTCCTTATACTATAAGAATGCAATGTCACCTAAGGGTTGAGCCAGACTTCGCGGAGAAGCGGCGTACGCGGCGTACGCAGCGTACGCTCGGTATATTTCATCATAGGAGCATACGCGGCGTACGCTGCGTACGTCGCGTACGCCGCGCAGTCTGGCCCAACCCTAACATGTAAGCCTCAGGTCAGGTTCGGCATGGAGATAATGTCTGTCGCGGCTCGCGATGCAAGCCACTCCTCGAACAGGAGGCCGGGAGCGCTGGCTATCGCGTTACTTGGCGCGCTATCAATTTCGCGCCAAGAGCTCTCCTGCTGGGCGCGTTGCCAAGTCTTAGGGTATACAAGGACGCGCAGGCTGCGGTCTGTGCCTCCTCGAGCTTCCTTCGTTATCGACTTTTTGATAATATCAATCCGCTGTCAGCGCCTGCAGTAGCTCCCGCAGATGATCGACGGTTTCGAGCGGTAGAGCCTTTAATGTCTTCACGTGTTTGGAGACGCGCAACTTAGTATTGTAGTCTGATGAGTAGTTGGAAAGGATTGCGGGAGTAAAGCGGGGTCACACTGTCCCGGAAGGGTTAAGGGCTTGCGGTTCACCCACGGAGAACCCGGAACTACTTGTTGGAATTGTTGAGTTGAGGCGGCTCGTCCCGTGCCCAATCCCTCCGGGGTTTGAGGTAGTAGTTTTAGTGGTGTTAGTAGGTTTCGTAGCTTTCAGTAGTTTCAGCAGTTTAACAGTTTTGGTAGCTTGTTATTTTTTGTGTATTTGTAGATAAACGTGATCTGAACTAGTCGTGCGTGTAATATTTGTGTCGTGCGGGTTCGCAGGTGTTGGCGTCGAGCATACGCGATAGATTTAGAGAAAATTTCCGTGAGTTACCCCTGAGTAGCTTATGATACATGTCAGTTTAAGATGTTGAACATACTGAGTCAGGAGCCACAGTGCAGGCTGGCGATCTTCGAGATCTAACAAGTGCGGCCACATCTCCGCCGCTTGTACCAATCACAAAGATGTGAATGATTGGCGAATAGGTTTCGACTCCTATGCTTGGATGAATGTGGTGTGCTCAATCATGTCAATGTGGATGGTTGGAATCATCGACCAATGGCCTAACTGAGGCAGAGCTGACTCGTCAAAGCATCAACTGAAGCTTTTCTCGGTCAAGATCGAATGAGACAGTTTTACTACGGTCCATAATCTTTTAGAAAAAACGAGGATAATTCCCTTCAGAAAATCGCTTTGATGGCGAGGGCAGATCTGGAATCAGCGTTTTGCGATGCCTTGCAAAACTTATGAAGAAAGCATGTGAATAAAAATCTGCAAGAAAAAGGTGCTGAGATATCGGAATAACGCAAATTTTACCTTTCCTCTCTAAAAGAAAGCTCAAAACAAGTGTATTAGCACTCAGATGACAATACCGTGATGCCAGTGAGTCGATGAGTACGCCAATTTCGCGCAAAGAAAAAGCTCATAACTTTCTTCGGAATGGTCCTCGGCAGCTAGGAATAGCATATTTGGAATCAGAGTATGAAGCTGATTCAGAGTATTTATGTCACTTGCCAAAAGGCCGAGCTACGTTAGGTAGCTTTCCTTGTTAGATGGTCTGCAGTACTTACTTAGGTGCTACGTTAGGTAGCTTTCCTTGTTAGATGGTCTGCAGTACTTACTTAGGTACTTAGGTGGTCCGGCTTCACATGACGTGCGAACTCCAGCACAGAAATTTCCATTTATCCCTGTCCCTCGTTTCAGACATCCACGATCTTCTTGGTTGACGTTGGTCGCTGCGTCTACGAGTTCCAGGTGCGAACATCGTAAACGCTGGTTTCTTAGCTGGCCCATCCGTTCCACAAACAAGTCTGCCCATTTCGTTGAAGGTCTTCCTCGAGGACGTTTTGTTTCGCGAGACCAACTCCAATGTTCTCAGTGTACATCTGTCGTCTTCTTCTCAAAACGTGACCGGCCCCTTGATGCTTTGCTTTCGCTACGTATTCCGCTGAGTCGCGAAGAGGGGACATTCTTCTCATGTCCGCCCTACGAAGTACGACGATATGTTGTTTGCGTCGGCTTATCTTTGAAAACTGCGCTTTAGCGCCCTGTAGGTGGTCCTTAAAGCTTTCGACGTGGCTGCGGTGTCAGCCCAAGTTCAGTTGCGTAACAGAGTGCGGGAGAACGGTTGAGTCGAACAGGTGGGTACGAAGCTCCAGTTCCGTCAGTTAGTCGGTGGCTTCCCTCAGAGGGCCGAAGAGCGAAGGCCCATGCTGCCCGCTGCTCATCGAACGTCCGAGGTATACGTATGAAGACGTCTCCAAGAAAAGGGTGCCTTCCAATTTCATTTCTGCATTTTCTCAAAGGGCGTTCTTCATGAACTGAGTCTTCTTTCGATTTATTCGCAATCCAACCTTCTTTCCTGCTTCGTTTAGTTTCTTCAGCATCGTCTCTGTCTCAGTGATACTGCTCGAGAAAAGAACGATGTCGTGCGCACAACAAAGTGTGAGAGGAATCCCCCATCAACTCGTATGCCTCTCTTGTCCAGCCCAGTGACTTCATCACCCACTACTGAACAGCTTCGGCAAAATTGTGTCGCTTTGTCGAACCCCTTTTCAAATAGGATGGTCAGGGGCTGCATCAACAGTTGCATCGCCGATGTGCAGTCCTTCTAGCAGTCAGCTAATGTCCTCACGTAAGCTGGGACCAATCTTTGATCGACTAGCGCTAACAGGATGGCCCTGACTTAGGCGCTATTGAAGGCTTTGTCGTAGTCGACGAAGGCTGAGACGAGAGGCAGTCGGTACTCCGGCAGACTTCTAATACCCTCAAAACCTCTGCGAAATCCAGCTTGTTCTTGGGGTTGGGCTTCATCCAGTGTCCTAGATATGCGTGCGAGGATAATCTTCGTGAAAAGTTTGTACAGCACACTCAGCAGGCATATTGGTCGGTAGTTTTCAGAATCCTCCCGTTTACCCTTTTTGAAAAGAAGGACGGTTCTTGATGTTCTCGACTGATCGGGAATCCTGCTCTTTTGATGGTAATATGTCGGGTCGCGATAATCTCGTGTAAAAAAGAGAATTTCGTGTAGAAGTTCTCCTCTGGCTCGCAGAAACTCGACGGAAAGATAGCCTGGTCCTGGAGCGATGGACGTCTTCATGGTCTGAATCGCTGTGCCCCTTCAGCAGGTAGAATTCGTAGTGATACTTCTCCAGCAAGAACAACGGGCATCGGCACGGGTGTTGATGAGCGGAAGAGGTTGAGGTATAGAAGTTATTCGCGATAGATCCCATCTCATATCAAAAAGGAGTGGGAACCCTTTGCAGCAAGCGACACATGCTTCGGCACTTCTCGAAACTTTGTCTTCCTTCGGCAGCTTCTAGTATCTTGGCTTGCCTGTATTTTTGAGATCCTTCTGCAAAGCTGTTCTGCAACTGGCGTTGGCTGTCAGTCGCTTGAGATGGATTGCAATCGGATTCTCCCTCAGAAATCTTCTTCTTTCGAGTAATTCCTTAATGGTCTTCGATATACGTTCCAAGTTCTTCTCAGAAGTCACTGAGGCGCGCTCTCCGCAGGCTCGCAGTCCTTTCAAAAGCCGGTCGTAGTCGTACGTTGGGTCCTTCTCGATGGGCTAGTCACAACTTGATATGAGATCTCCCAACCCGTTACCGTCATAAGCGACTTCCTTCCTTTTTGCGGCACTGTGACAGACTTTCTTTTCCAGCTTTCGACTGAATCATATCGTCGCTCGAAGGAGGCGGTGATCGGAGCCACTGCAGAAGGATGGAACTACTAATACATCGAGCAAGCTCCATCTTCGGTTGGTGAGAATATGGTCGATCTCCGCGTGAGTCGTTCCGTTGGGCGATTCCCTTGTCCACCGGCAATGTTCTTTCTTCATGAAGATGAAATTTCCATGGAAAAGTCGTGCGGCGAAAAGAAGCCCAATGAGACGGTTGCCATTTTTATTCCGGAGCCCATATCCAAACTTCCCGATCCTATATTCCTTTTCCAGTGGCATCCCGATTTTCGCCTTGAAGTCGCCCGCAACAAACTCGTAAAAGGACTTCTCGTTGCGGACGACCTCCTTCACATCTTCGTAAAAAGCATCTAATTCTGAGTCGTCAGCTGCTGATGTTGGAGTGTGGCAGTTGATGATGCTGATGGTCTTCTGACGTGGAGGGTGTAGTTGTAGGATGGCAAGTCGAGATGATAGGTTCCCATGCGAATCGACAAGATGGACGATAGATGGGTGGACGACAAAACCAACGCCTCCAACGTTTCGCAATGGAACCTTTTCACCACGAATGATGAGGGTCCCATCACTCACTCAGACAATCGCCGGGGGCAGGCGGGCACCGGAAAAATAGATTGCTGATCTCTCGCACCCCGCTCGCGGATTTTTTGGAAAGCAATCAGGACTTTTTGGAAGACCGCTTGCTGAGTTCTCGATTCCTCAAAGATTCAGCAATATAAGAGCGAAAAAAATTCAACAGGCGGTCTCTCAAAATCCGCTGACTCAGCAAGCAGTCTTCCGAAAAGTCCTGATTGTTTTGCAAAAAATCCGCGAGCGGGGTGCGAGGAATCAACAATCTATTTTTCCGGTGCCCGCCTGCCCCCAGCGATTGTCTGAGCATCTGTCGCAAGTCCTTCTTCCTGAACTTCGTTTCCTGCAGAGCGATGATGTGCTACTTGATGTGCTCTGCAGCGTCGAGAAGAGCGTGAAGGTCGGCGTTTGTGGAGACTGCCCTGATGGTGCAGAGCATGAGGCCATCTCTATGGCGTGTTGTCCGGGCAGACGTGTCGTTTTTGTCCGATTCAAAAGGCACCCTGAGGCGCCCTGACGTTCTTGCTACCATCCGAAGCCGTAGGCGGGATCCGATAATCACGGTTTATTTCAATTCTTCTTGCTATCGGAGTAATTGAAGTTTTCCTCCACAAAAGCAAAGTTGCTAGGCCTACTCTTGATTTCCACGGGGTGATCACTGACCCGGGTGTGGAGCGGAAAGAACCGCTTAGCGACCGGAAAACCAGACGGCGGAAAATCGGCCTGGCCGGCCTTAGCTAGGCATCCGGCCAAAACCGGAAACGTCAAATTCCTTCACAGCTTGAAAGGCCCTGCCAGAGTATACACTCGGATGTGCATCGCAGTTCGACACCCATTGTAACCTCCACACCATCTTGAGGCGACCGACCTGGGGGATGGTATGTTGATGGTCAAGTGGTCAATGTGCACTCCGAGATAATCAAAAGTTATGATGGTTTTTCTCCCGAGCCCTGATCAAAGATGAAAGCTCGAGGACGAGCTTTGCTATGAAACGGACATGTCGAGACACAGACGCTGACAGACGTCGTGACAGTCGCCGCGTGGGCGGTACTGTCTTCAGATGAGCTGGCCAGCGGGTGACCGGTGGTCTCCTGCCCATTTTCTGTCCCCTCTTATAAATACTTGTTATAATGATAAATTGTCTAGTCAAGAACGGTTTTGTTGAGAAGCAATATAACAGGGTAGAGGGATCAAGTCCCGATAGTAATTAACTTGTTAAATTTGACATAGTCGCCATAAAGTCACTTTCATTGCAAAGCACCAATTGGATAAAAGAACTAGCAAATCGACTCAGCTACAGGTCAAAAACACGTGTGTGCAAAGTTTAAGCGTAATAGGTTCACGCAGAAAGAGTACATAAGCTACACATCCTTCGTGCACCCACACTTTCTTCTTTTTCTACATAGAGATTGAATAGAGGTAGAAAATCTCATTATCTATATTGGCTCCGGCCTTTTCAATTTCAGTTTTACAAGTAATAAATATGATTTTAATCATCTTCAACTTAAAATTTATTAAATACGCTCCTTTGAACTTACCATCATGAGTTTCCAATTTGCATTGCATAAGTTTGTACTGCAATAGCAAATTGCTCTATGGTTCTTGTTATAGCACCGTTTGTAATACTTAAACAGGTGCGTAAGCATACGAAAAGTTTAGAATTTGTACTCACTCTTCGAAGTATTGTGATATTGATATGATTTGATGTAATCCAACGAAAATTAGCCCATTGCTTTCCTCGTTCTTCATCAAAAGGTGGTTCTTCGAAAGCACACGGTTTCTTTGTCTCATACACGCACATTTGAAGTTCCTGAAAGGTGCCCGCGTAACAGAAACAGGTTGTGTGAAGGGTTAGGATGTAGATTTCACAGAAATTCTTCTTGTTTGTTTACTACATGCAAACAGGCAAACAATGTGTTGGATCATATGTGAGACGAAAACTTTGCCAGATCATGAGAGCCTGTCTACTGATGTTGCTCACGCGAGATGCCACAAAGCTCCAAACTGGTGAAGCAACCTTCCATTTTACATTCGCTTCAGGCGATTGAAAGCTAACATGCAATAAGAATAATGTTAAAAGAAAAAAGACGGAAAGCGCAACATTGCTTGAGCAATAAGGTTTCTCAGTTTTCTTTTTTCTTTTTATCGCATGCACGGACCTCAAAAGGCAAACATTATATGAAAGTTCAATACCAGTAACTGAATATATGATTTACTAGGTAGACTCAAGGCTACTTGTTCTAGTGACCGTATTCATCATTGCCATCTTGAGGCAAATTTGATCCAGGATAGTAATGAATAATGTTTATAGTTAGTCAGGGTAGTTTCACTACAATTTACTCATCAAACAGTAAGATTCTACCTCTGACAAGGAGAGGATACTTAGTCGAAAGCACCATTCCGGGTTAGCGAGAGTTTTAGGAATAAGATAAAATTAACACTAATCTACTACTCATTTCGTTCGAGTGTTCAGACGCCGAAAATTACACTCATTTCACATGCTCTCCACAGCGTTTTGAGAGTGGTGGCAATGAAATCAAAATCAAAGAAGCTTGACCCAAGATCGCTCCGCAAGCTTTTTTTGAAAAGATACGTGTTACGTTAAAAAAGGCATGGCAGTTTTCTCATCTGCCCAACTTTCTCACAAACTGGCAAAATGTTTCGTTTAGATATGTGGGGCAGCTATTTAGCAAAACATAGGATACAGCTTTTTGAATGCGAAAGTTAGTCGGAGTGATTGGCTAGTAAGGAAGATAATCTCAATATCTTTGACTATTTTCGTCGTTTGCCCGTTCGTCTTAGACTTCATCCAACTCAAAAAGTAATCTAAAAACAAGTAAAACTGACTGACTCTGCCGGAAGCTGTTCTTAGTGCATAAGTTTCACGTTAAAGGCACCGTCCACCCTAAGTTGAGGTGTTGAGCCTTTGGCAGCATATAACAGTAGGGCCTCCTACCAAGCCAATGCCCAAGTGGCGGCGCAAAATGCCGCATCAAAAGCGAGAAAATCGCTTTGGAATAGCGAAAATGCACGAAGAATCCATGCACCCCCCCCCCCCCCATCCATGCCCGCCCATTCGTGCGCGCTCATCCAATCACCGTTCCGGAAAGCCGGTTTGTGGGTTCTCCGGAATGGGGATTTTCGGGATTTTCGCGGATTTTCGACTTCATATTTGGAGTCAGGGACATGAGAAGGCCCTGAAACGACAAAAATCTAGAAGTCGAGAAACTGCGTGGATGGTGCCTTTGAGGATTAAATGTTCTACAAAATCGTGGTTCAATACAGGTGATCAAAGCTGTATGAACTGGAAAGAATGAAAATGTGGAGCAAACTATTCCAACGAATATCACTTCAAAATCCTCAATGTTCCGAAATCTCTTATCAATCCATCATTAACAAAAATAAAGAAATATCCGGCCAGAAGCAATCGTGAAATGAGAGCTAGAAGTAGTTTATCAGCCGGATATAGTTCCAGAGCTTATGATAGTTGATTATGGATAGTCTTCTTCGAATCACTAACTAAAGCATTTCATCACAAATACGTTGTTACATGGAAGCGATACTGCCAATTATGCTGACGCAGGAATATTCAACCCTCAAGAGATAGACTTTAGTGAATACCAAGTCATTCCTTAACACGCTTCGGACCGGTGCTGCACTGGTGCAGCACGATGCCTTGAAGGATCGTTTTGACGTTTACAGGAGGTTATCTTTTAGTCAGTGCCAAATCAGACCCTAAGCTTCTACTTCCCGAATGACTCTATAGAGCTGTGCCGCCATTAGTTGTTTAGCAGATATGAGGACAAATCAAACAACAGTTGCAACGAAGTGCGGCATCGCGAGCAACGCGTGCGACGTCGCAACTTTTTTTGCCTCTATTTCAAAGAGAAAACCTCTAGTTTCAATAATGATGTGTACCGTTTACAACATAGATACTTCTAAATACTATTAGAAACTGATCGTGAGTTCTTCTTTCTATCTTTCAAGAAAGCACGGAAGTCACTCTCAAGCAACAAAATTCAAACGCTTCGATTTCACTCAGAACCTTGCGTATGGAGCTTATCTGATATGCTGGTTACAAAAGTAGCTCACGGCCTACGAAAGAAGGTCCCTTTGTCGGCTAAAAACTAAAAGTTCATTCTTTTTCGCCGCGCGCGATTTTGCGGTCCAAAAAGGTTAAGGTATGCTTTATCACGAGGTCGTAGTCTAAAGGCATCGTCCGGACAAGAGGTAGTTTGAATTTTTTTTAATTTTCGAACCCCTCAAAAGTACGGGTTATCTCATGTTTCTGCTTAGAGATAGCCAATTTGTTCCGCGTTCACTGTTTTTCATTAATTCTTCTCGAACTCATCATTGCTTAGCGTTATCCTCTTGCTACTCTGTATGCTTTTTCTTGGTTTGTCATCATAACTTATAGTAATAGTGCGACAACTCATCCTTGAGGTGGCATGTGAAGGTGCGCGTGGAGAGATTGCAAAGGGATCTGAGTAGCGCAAACGACTCTTTCCTTCGACCTTCAGGAAGGAGTTGTAGTTTAAGGAAAGCGGCTATGTGTGCTCATCTTGTTTTGAAAGATGAGCTTTGGCCGGCGTTGCGCTACTCCCAGCCTCCGCGAAAGTAAACCACCACTTTTACTCTTCTCTCCTTGAGGTTTTCTTTCATCGCTTCTTTCTTCTCAAGCTTGGATCTCAAATGGCGATTGCTTGCAGCTTGTTCACGTTAACGTATTGGCTTTAGAATCTTCGTAACGAGCGCTTTCTCGTTCTTCTTAGACGCTTGGCTTCCTTAGCACAATCGTGAAAGTGGTAAATGAACCATTTGTATTCTTAGTCGATGTTATCAATCACCGTGTTGCGTCAAAAGAACTGATATCGATTATAAGACAGATCCCATTTGATGAAAGCCGTGGGACGACGTTTCCCAAACTTAGCGGCTCTCTCTTACTCGGTACGAAGAAGATGATGGTTCAACCCTATATGAAACTAGGCAGTGTACCCGGCTTTGCGGCTGGTTTAGAATGAATCCAGGTTCTGCTTGGTTTATTTTTTACATTCTTGTTCACTAAAGTGTTGATGATCTCAACTCAAAAATATTTCACCTTGCTCCGAGGTCTGTCTTTCTCTTACTGCTCTCATCCTCTTTGCGTTAGGATCAGGATCAGCCCTTCAAATACTTGCTGTTTTCGGAGGCATTTTGAAAATCTATGACAGAAAAACCATGTTTCATTTTGAAAGGCCCCAACGATGGAACGGTTAATCTCCCATGTTGAACACCATTTCATTTTTGAGGGCATTACCTACTTCGCGATATGTTAATCTGTCTCTTCCGCAACTCCAGTTCCTTACCGATAACGCGACGTTTTACTTCTGTATCAGATAATATGCACAGCAGAAGAATGGTTGCGAACTACAAGGAAACCCAGTCTTCTCACCTAATTGAATCTTAACTCATACATCATAGAGTGAAGCTTTCTTTGACGTACACTGGTGTCAGACATGTGCTCTCAACATCGTAGGCGCAATCGCCAAATCAGAGCCTCGCGCGCGTACAGCCTATGTCAACATGTGCTCCCTTGTCGATCAGCTCAAGCGCAACGCTAGAGCCGTGTTCGCGGGCGTACCACGTAAGCGTCTGTTCAAATCTGTTGCATCGACTGAGACGTCTGCGCAATGCCCACGTACTTTGGATACGAAGCTACTACGGAAAAGGGAGCACGTGGTTGACAGCGATTGTACCTACTTCCCCGCAATTTGGAGGAAAAGTCTATTTCGCTTAAGTTTCCATACATCTCAGTAAATTTACTTCATTACCATTCCCACTACTTTGCCGCATTCCAAAAGCAAGATTGATTTTTCTGCTTTCACACATCTTGCGCTCCCTACTCACAACTGTTTTTGGAGTGACTTGGCAGATGCTTGACCAAGATCACGTAAAGAAACGAATTGCAGTCGAATGCAAAACGATCGGCATTAAATTAGTGCCCCAAACTCAACCTTTTTTCTTTCATGGAGAAGAGTAGAGACACAGAGACGCGCTGTTTGATGGACGATTGCCCCTCCCTGATCTGGTCAAAATACAATACTCAATTCAGTGATGCTTCTCCTAACCGTGCTTTCTTAGCAGAGATTCACAATGAGACTTACACTGTTTACTTGAATGCAAATGACTTGCCTGATGATACGTTCATTTTCATTACAAACGGTTAAAAATCAATAAATCAATAGAATGGCCCAGCGAATTGCGGCAAAAGTAGCGCTAAACCAGATTCGGGGTCAAATACATATGTGTGCAAAGTTTCAGCTCAATCGGTTCATTGGGGGCGTTTCCATAACGAACCAACAAGCAAACGAACAACTTAAAAAGTTTGAGTTTTATATATATACCAGTGCGTCACCTCTGCTTCGCAGAGGCTCGCACTGGCCCTACTTTCTGTGTTTTACTCATTCCCGCATAATAATGACATTGAAACTCACCGTGCTATGCAGGCTATCACGGATGATTTGTAAACAACTACTCATTCCGAGAGCTCTTTTGTTTGAGATCGGTATTTTCGCGTGGATGAAACTTTTTCGAGAAGAATAAATGCAAATTTGACTTGGTTTTTGGACTTTTTATGGTTTGGTAGTCGCCATAACGACGATGATCGACGACGGGCTACATCTCTGTGTAAAAATCTTCTCAAATGATTGGGTAAAATCTTGGCAAATTGAACATTTACGCAGCTAATTTTTTCAGCGCCATTTTCATAAAGTAATCAACATTGGTTCAATTTTTTGGGCTAAAGTCCATGGCTTGCACATCAGCTTGTTAATCATATCCATGACTTTGCAAAAAGTGATAGTACAGGCCCAATTTTGCTGGCCAGAGGCCAAGTGGATCCGTTTAAAGCGCAATTTTTGAGGGATCCACTCAACGGATCCGATCGTGCTTTTGCCTAGAGGACTTTCATGCTGCTAGCATGCGCCGTGCAAAATTTGGGCTCAAGAGGTTGGCTGGAACTCGCTCTACGAATTTCGTAACGGACACACACACACACACACACACACACACACAAAAACACAAACAACCCTTAGCCCGTTATTATAAGTCATGATATATATATATATATATATATCAAGACCTTATAATAACGGGCTAAGGGTTGTTTACGTGTTTTTGTGTGTGTGTGTGTCCGTCTGTTACGAAATTCTTAGAACGTGTTCCAGCCAGTGTTCTAAGCCCAAATTTTGCATAGCGCATGCTTCCTTCATGAAAGTCTAACATGCAAAAGAACGAGTAGATTCGTTGAGTGGACTCCTTATATATTGCGCGCCAAACGGATCCACCTGGCTTCTGTCCCGCAAAATGGGTCCGTATTACCACTTTTTGCAAAGTCGTGGGTGTGTTTGGTTAGCAAATGTGCAAACGATGGACTTTAGCCCAAAAAGTGGTCAAAAATTTACTACATAACAAAAACGGCGTCAAAAAGAATTGGTTGCGTAAATGGTCAATTTGCCAAGGTTCTAGCCAAGCATTTCAGAAGATTTTCGCGCAGAGATGTAGCTCACGACTACTATTGCCTTTATGGCGACTACCAAGCCATGACAAATTTAAAAACCTATTCGAATTTGCGTTTGTCTTTCTGTGAAAAGTTTCATCCACGCGAAATCACCGATCTCACGTGAAAAAGCTTTTTAAATGAGTAGTTGTTTACATCTTATTCGTGGTAGTCGGCATAGCGCGGTGAGTTCCAGTGCCACAATTCTACGAGAATGAGTAAGGCACATAGATAGTAGGGCCAGTGCGAGCCTCTGCGAAGCAGAGGTGACGCACTGGTATATATATATATAGAGAGAGAGAGAGAGAGAGGGAGAGATATCGAAACGACAGCGCAATCAAACCTCTAATCATCACCGCCAATCAAACCTTTAGTTGACGATGATGTTATCAGTATCATTATGTACTCTCCACTGGGTGCTCTCACGTCCAGCGTCGAAAAGGGAATTTTTCAGATTGTGTGGATTGTCACTGTAGTGTAAATTCAAAAAATTTCCCACTTGCTCATTCACTGAAGTGCTGGTGCTTTAGAGCTCTGCGGCTGAAGCACCTTCTCGCTTCGATCTTCACGTGAGGTCACCGACGATGAGCTTGTAGAGGTGCACTCTTCTTTGTAAAACCTTTTCAAATGCATAACCTCTGCCTCGTCTTCATCGTAGCTGATATTGGGACTTACGCAATGGACAACTGCCAAGCTTAGAATCGGTCCACATCTCGATATTCTTATACATTTGTTTCGAGTTGTTTGTTGTTCGATCGAATCAATGTTCACGGCCGAACTCCGTTGACAAGACTCCATCACCGCCAGCTCTTCTACTTCAAGAACAACTCTTCTCCAGTATCAAACTGGCGTCTGGGGGCGGGTGGTGTCTCCTTGTCTCGGTCACTCCGATGACATCGCTATTGCTTCCATGCTTGCATCGTGGATCTTTGAAGGATTTTTATGCAGGTGTTCGTGCGTTATGATTCAAATCGTATCAAGGCCAAAAAAGTATGTAAAAATTCGAATTTCATTCGAACGATTCACTCATAATTGGCAGTCCCGCTATGTACCAGTAGGCGACCTGGTCATTCCAGCAAAGCCATCGCTTCGAAGCTATCGCAATGGCTTTGTTGAAATGACCAGGTCGTTCTCCTTCTCCAAGAAGTGAGGAGCCCCTACCAAAATGATTCTTTATCCGAATGCAAACATAGAAAGCAGATGTTACCAGAGCTTGAATGACCGACTTAGTTAGACGGAGCGTGGGCTTCTAGAAGAGTATGCATGGTTTCATGGCAAGAAATTGAGAAAAACGAAATGTGGAATGCTTTTTTGTATCAAACATGAGTTGTAAATAATGACTTCATAGCATCCCGTGAGAATATAGCATGAGTTTTCAGTTCTCTACAAGCATTAGTTTTTTCGGAAATATCAAGATTAGCTTAAAGGCAACGTCCGGGCAAAATTTCGCCTTTCATATTTTTGTCGTTCTAGGGCCTTTCCGTGGCCCTGTTTACGTTATAAAGTTCGAATTGTCCAAAACCCTCAGAAAACTCGATTCCTGGGGACCCTGTTTTGAGGGCGCGGACGAGTTTCGGATTGTTCATCCCTTCGGTTCGCCACCTAGGAGGAGCATGGGTGCAGTTGCAATCCATGATCGAACGATGCGTGAGCACACGTCCTCAGGGGAGGTTTGTGATACGAGAGGCCATTTGTGATACGTATTACAGGCCCTTTAAGAGGTCACGTCAGGATCGGACCAATGCAGGTCGGATACTCATGGGGCCCGCTTTACCACTATATGCTAATCTGGGTGGGTGGATCTTGGCCGAACGCTGCCTTTATGAAGCAAAAAAACGGCATTGGTACTTCTGACGTGACTTTTTTTCCAAGCCATGGAAAATTCAAAAAATTGTACACTGTATGTCTGCTGAGACAATGCCCAAGCAAATTATAGGTCTATAAGAGATTTATGGACGGAAACGCGTTTTTTCGGGTTTTCATCTTGGTCAAAGAATTTACGTTAAAGCTATTTTGTCAAAGTTTTGTTTACTATTAAGTTGTTACATAAGTCTTGTTACACTTTGACTTCTTACAGCGATAAGTCATGCACCACATATTCTTTACAGGGATTTAGGGAACCATTCGAAAGAGCAAAGCAAGCTTTACAAAATATTCTCCAAAAGTTCGCCTCAAGGGCGACCCACTTTGAGTTTGCATTCAAAATGTGAGTCGCACCAAAGGTTGAAAAAAAATTGGGAGACTTCATATCTTCGCTCAAAAAAATTCTCTGAATCTTCAACTTGTTCATAAAATTTGCACACCACGTCAGACACTTATATGTACTGTTGCTATGTTTCTTCCTCATCTAGAAAAAAACGAAATTTTTCTTGTTTCTACAGGAACAAAGCTATGTTGTTTCTTTTCACGAGATGTACAGGGTGTCCCAAAAGTAAGTACACACTTTTCAGTCGTCAATAATATCTGTCTTCCCAATGGGTCTTTTTCTGCCAGTCAAGCGCCGTTCTGTAGAAAATGCTTCAACTTAGATTTACAGTATCTATCGGATCACCGATCGCTCTTCGTTACTGTAGGAGTACGGTAAGGATTTTCAGCATGTGAAACCACGGTGAATTATGCCACCTAACAAATTTTTTTTCAAAAAAATCTGAAAAATCGTGTACTAGGGTTTTCGCGCACGCTGATTCTACTACACGACTTGATACGAGTGTTTTCAGCTTCTTTGATGGTGTAATCGCATTTCTGACAATTACTGGAAAATCGGTTATTACGGTTTACCTGGGATAACTTTGGAATAGAAGCATCACAGTAAAGTGGAAATTTCATATTCAAAATCAGCGGCTTCCATTATCATAGTACAAGAGATTTTGGATTGTTTGATTTTGTTCCGAGGCAGAATATGGCTTCAAACGACTTAAAATCCTTGTCAAAGTTCCTAAAGTAATCCTACAGTAATGAAGCGCGATCGGTGATTCGCTCGATACTGCATATCTAAGTTGAAGCCTCCTCTACAGAACGGTATTTGAATGGCGGAAAAAGACACAATTGGAAGAAAGATATTGACGATTAAGAAGTGTGTACTTACTTTTGGGACACCCTGTATACTAAAAGCCTTCATACGCATAACCGTAAATTTTCAGCTTTCTGCATGCCCTGCTTTCATTCCGTAGCAAGCAATCCTTCCCACCTAATAAAATCTTTTTAATTATTATCGAAGAGAAAGCTGTCATTTTGTGCGTGCATTTGCCCGTTGCCAGTTGCATAAAACGAGTTTTAGCCGAGATCATTTGGCAATTGCAATCTCCTTAAGACTGTAAAAATGGTCAGTGCTCACAGCATGTGGGACTTCTTCTATTCCAATAACGTGTCCTTCATCTCCAATCAAACATTTCAAAGAGGACACAAGCAGAGGGATAATTGTTGCAAGTGCTATAGAAACTGAAAGAAGAAAGTGTAAGGCAAGTGTAAGTAGTGTATCTATATCTCATCAATACAACGTACTTTGCCTGGGAGAGACCATCGCTTGCATGGCTTTTGAGTGAATGGATCATGTTTCACAATGCTAAACGTTACACGTCGGCGATGCTATACATACTCTATCATAAGATACTTCCACTTTAGTCTTTACACAATAGGCAGGCGGTGATCACATGCATCTCCCTGATAATGGCGCGGTTAACGCAGGCATTCTCGGTATGCCAACCGGGGCGCCTTGTTTTGTGAAGAGTTGAATCAGACTGCGCAGCGTAAGTGCCGTACGCGAGCCGTCGTGTTCGTTGAGAGTAGTTCTGGTTCAACCCAAAGGTGACGTCACTGCCACTTCGTGCGCAGCCAGAACTTAATCAGCTTAGTGGGGTTTTAATTTCGAGCAAGGTCTGGCACATAAGTCACATTGTTACGCTGAACTTTCTTTTGTGCAGAAAGCAAAGGGATCATGTCATACTATTACAATGGACTCCTCACAATGACACACTCTTTTGCCTACATACAAGTTAAAGACACACGTCAGGACTCACCTTGTAGGCGGCCCCTTTGCCGAGCACGTGCTCCATGTGTACACCACAAAACTTCTCGGTTCCAAAGTGGCGGGGCAGAGTAAGGCTTTGGGGGGGAGGCAGGGGCAGATACATGATTCAATGCCTAAAGGGCCAGGCATACTTCACGCAATTTCAGTCGCGACGCGATTTGGCAATATTCCGACTGTCCATAACTCACTGTAAGCACATATTATATGTACAGAAGATAGGGCATTTTGCCAATATACGTAAGCTATACAGACTTCTAGCGAATTGCAAAATCGCGTCGCGACTGAAATTGCGTGAAGTATTTCCGGCCCTTAAGTAGCAATGCAACAGGTGTACTGGCGGGTGCATCTTGTACTGCTTGACATCGCGTTGCGGTACCGCTTTAAAAAATTTCGCGCAAGCTGTGAGTCATGACCGCTCCCAAAATTGGTATGTAGATAGCACGTTCTATTCAGTTCTCTCACAAGCGCGCTAATTATAACAAGGTTATAATAGCACCAGTGCGTCACCTCTGCTTCGCAGAGGCTCGCTCTGGCTCTACTATCTAGGCCCTACTCATTCTCGCATAATGATGGCATTGGAACTCACCGAGCAATGCCGACTATCACCAACAAAATGTAAACAACTACTCATTCCGAAAGCTTTTTCATATGAAATCGGTGTTTTCGCGTGGATGAGACTTTTTGCAAGAGAACAAACCCAAATTTTTATAAGTTTTTGATTTTACCATGGTCTTGACAGTTGCAATAAGAACAGCAGTCACAGTGAGATATATCTTTGTGCAAAAATCTCGCCAAATGCTCTGGTAGAACCTTAACGAATTGACCATTTACTCAACCAATACTTTTTAGCGCCGTTTTTGCAAAGTAATGGACTTTTGATCACTTTTTTGGGCCTAAGTCCATGACTTGCTCATTTACTTGCTATGAACACAGACTCTGCAAAAAGTGGAATCACGGACCCATTTTTGGGGGTCAAATGCAAAGTGGATCCGTTTGACGCGCAGTTTCAGAGGGACTCAACGAATCTGCTCGTGCTTTTGCTTGTTGGACTTTCATGCGGGTAGCATGCGCTGTGCAAAGTTTGAGCCCAGGAGGTTGGCTGGAACTCGCACTACGATTTTCGTGACAGACAGAGATTCACACACACACACACACACACACACACACACACACACACACACACACACACACACACACACACACACACACACACACACACACACACACACACACACACACACACACACACACACACACACACACACACACACACACACACACACACACACACACACACACACACACACACACACACACACACACACACACACACACACACACACACACACACACACACACACACACACACACACACACACACACACACACACACACACACACACACACACACACACACACACACACACACACACACACACACACACACACACACACACACACACAGGAAATTCTATAGCGTTGATATACACACACACGCGCGCGCACACACACACACACACACACACACACACACACACACACACACACACACACACAGGAAATTCTATAGCGTTGATATACACACACGCGCACACACACACACACACACACACACACACACACACACACACACACACACACACACACACACACACACACACACACACACACACACACACACACACACACACACACACACACACACACACACACACACACACACACACACACACACACACACACACACACACACACACACACACACACACACACACACACACACACACACAAACGTAAACAACCCTTAGCCCGTTATTATAAGTTATGATAGTTGATAGCATACACAGTGTGACTTCGAGTTTGTTTGAACTATACTAATACGGTATTATTTGATAATGTAACATATATGAAAAAATCTATCTGAAGTTGCCTTTAGTATTTACCTTACAACTTGCTCGTCATAGAGCACTATCACCTGCGCGTTTCTCTTCTCTTCTTCTTGTGCGGTACGCACTTTTATCTAAAAATAACTTTTAAGGCATATCCTTTCCCAGTTTAAGCATGATTTAGCTTTATTGAGGCCGGCAAAGTCCTATGGTGACCTTCTCACAGCTGTCAGCTGTCATGTCGGCTGAAAACGGGGATAACCCGGCAGACGACCAGGGCACAGTCTCGTTAGGCGGAGCGAGACATTGGAGACTACAACTCGATCTTGTCACATGCATCGGACTATTAAGAATTTTCATCAAGCTGCTAAAGCAATGGCGCGAATAGTGAGCTAGGGCCATCTGCCCCGGACGAGGCAGGCCAAAGAAGCGAATTCAGGAAGTTCGACTAGCTTCGATGTAGGAACCCTAGCGAGTCGCAGCCGAGAGTTATGTGATAAATTAAGGGAGCGACACGTCGACATCATCGCGTGTGCACGTGAAACAAAATGGAAGGGGAGAGAAGCCAAGGATATGGCGAGGGATACCAGCTCCACTGCACTGGAGAAAACAATCGCCAAAACGAAATAACAGTCACAGGGGTGAATACCGCAAGTTGGATCGAGTGGCGCGTATTTCGAGCAGACTGATGGCAATCAAAATCGAAGCAGGGGACTTCACATTCCGAGTTCTCGTGTATGCTCCGCAACGGGGATGCACCGATGCTGAGAAGGAAGCATTATGGGGGATTTTGACATCCTGCTACGACATTCGATTCGGCAGATTGCATCCTTCTAGGAGGCGATCTTAAAGGACACGTTGGTGATGCACATGATTATTTCAAGAGATATCACGAGGAAATGGTTACGGTCAGAGGAATGAGGACGGAAAACGCATTTTAGAAGCCGCTGAAGCACACGACTTAGTTATCGCAAACACATTCAGAAAACGGAAATCCATCAATCTCAAAAGAGCCATGAGCTGATTTTTGGACAAATACGATCTGAGTGACTTTCTACCATACTCATACAATATCCCTACGATGCCTTCAGCAGCACATCAATGCCAGTGTTGTTATCAGCACGCTGAACAATCCAATCTAACAAATACCTGCAAAATTGAGCAGAACCTACTGTCGACAGCATACCTAATACTAAATGATGCGACTCGCCGAGATGAATTGAACAGTGTTTTTTTAATTCAGGAACGTCTATTTTCAAGCGAGATATGGCGATGCGAGGAGTATTCCGGTGCACTCCAATGAAGTGTGGCGCACTCCGCTGCTCTGCAGCGCACTCTGCCGCAATCCGGCGCATTGCAATGCGCTGTGGCACACTCCGCTAGAATGCGGAGACTTATTTTGACGAACTATAAGCGGTATTGTAGGCCGCCTTCTTCTTCTTGATGACTTGCTAGACTGACTCGAACCACGACCAGATCTGCTTGTTGACCGGTGTGCTTCCATCTGTCATCAGTTGATCCTCCTTAATCGGTCGACATATCCAAATTACTGATCCCTGATTTGCTGCAATGTTCAAAAAGCTTCCACCACTTGACTCTCTTGGTCATGGTCCTTCGGGCCCGTGAATGTAAGCGAATATTCAGTCGAAATCCAAACGAGCCGGCGACGTTGCGGTACAATGCATGTGTTGCTGTACTCAGACAATCGGTGCCATAGACGCGGCGGACAATCGAAATCTGGCAGAGCCGCGGCGGACCCAATTGACCATTGAGAGCGGGGCGAGGGGGCGGTCCCTTCTTGTAGGTCACGGTGACGTCACAAGCAGGCGAGTGGGACCCTTCTCCGGGACGCGCAAATCTCTGCTCCGGAGGTACGCATTTGGGACACCTCCGGAGCAGAGATTTGGGAGCAGAAAATGGCAGGGCTCCGGAGCACAAATGGGAGGTCTTCGGAGCACAAATGGGAGGGCCCCGGAGCAGAAAATGGCAGGTCTCCGGAGCACAATAGGTACGCAGCCAATTTGCTGTGATAAGCAGCTTAGCATTTTCGAAAATAGCTGCCCTCGTTTTCGACTTTTTGTTGGTTTTTCGCGTTTCTTTACCGTCTTTTTCTTTTCCGCGTTGCTCTTCGTCGCGTTGGCGTTTATGTTGTTGTAAGTTCCTCGTTTTCAGGTTTATGTTTCAGATTTTCGTGCGGATGCACTCAATCACTTTTAGTGTTTGGCTCTTTTCGACTTGCTGAGACATCGTTGACTATTGATGGAGTGGCTTTCTAATTCTGGATTTTCGAAACAAAAATATATAATCCAAGTGAAGTCCAGATGAAGTTTTTTTCCCGTTTCAGTCAGAAAGCTTACTTTTTCAGGCGCAGTGGATTTAGCGGTATTTGGAAGCATCTGCTGTTTGGGCCATCGGAAAGGATTCACACGGAAAATACATGCAAATGCAATATTGCTATGCGACCCAGCTTAGGCATGGGTTCGAAAGGCGTCGTATGCAGTGTGCTTCGGGATCCGCCGTCCATGATGTCGTTTGAAAAATGCGACGTTCTGTGAGGTTAATATGGGCCTTCCTTTTATACCTGAAACCCGGTCATTGTGTATGACTGGGTTTCAG